ACTTAACATTTTTTTAGTTGTACAGAATCAGCCTGGGTTCAACTCCCACCCCCCACTGTACATATGACATTTACACATTTATCCTTTCATGGCAATGAACAACTTTCAGTTCAGAAATGGATAAAATATGATGATTTTCCGTCTAACAGCTTCTACAGTATGCTACTTGTTGCGCTCAGTGACCAGGCTGACTACCATAAACAAGACAATTCAGTTACCGGTAAATTCAATTCATTTTATTTATATAGCGCCAAATCACAACAGAAGTTGTCTCAGTGCACTGAACAGAAACCATTCACATACATACAAAAGCCAATTTGTAAAAGTGATCGGCACACATCTGCCTTCACCCTCATTTGCCCTGCTCTGGGCCCTTGAGCAAGGCACTTAACCCCCACCATTGGCTCCAAACAGGTATCTCTTGAGTCCTTGTGACTCAATGAGATACCTGTAAGTTAAATCAAATCAAATCAAATCAAATCAAAGAAAGGAAGCCAGCAGACACATTGAATCTTCACTTCGTTGCAGTCTTCCACCCTGAGCAAGCACAATGACAACAGTGGAAAGGAAAAACTCTCTTTTAACAGGAAGAAACCTCCAGCAGAACCAGTCTCGGGAAAAGCAGCCATCTGCTCCGACTGGTTAAGTTTGAGAGGACAGGAAGGAGGAACACACACAGAATGGCAAGTCCAGGTGTAGGTGCAGGTGTACCCCCTATTGGAAGAAATACAAAAATACTTGTCAAGGATAGAAATAAGTACAAGTACAAAACATGTAGAGCAGAGTAAGTAAAGATGGCAGCAGAGTGACGAAATGTGGTCAGTTTATCCTCCAGCAGTTTAAGCCTATAGCAGATAGCTCAGGAAACCCAAGCCAACCCTAACTATAGGATTTATCAAACAGGAAAGTCTTAATCCCAGTCTTAAAACTGGACAATGTGTCAGCCTCACGGACAGAAACCGGAAGTTGGTGCCACAAGAGAGGAGCCTGATAACTGAACGATCTGCCTCCCATTCTGCTTTTGGAAACTTTAGGAACCACAAGTAAACTTGCAGTCTGAGAATGAAGTGTTTTGTTAGGAAAATATGTAACAATAAGATCTGTGAGATGGAGCTAGGTTGTTGAGAGCTTTGTAGGTTAGAATTAAGCTTTTTAAAAAATTATATTCTGAATGTGACAGGGAGCCAATGAAGAGAAGCTAAAACTGGAGAGATATGATCTCTCCTACTAATTCTCATTAAAACTCTGGCAGTAGCATTTTGGAGTAACTGAATACTTTTTAAAGTATTTGGACACCCAGATAACAAACCATTGCAATAGATATAATGCAATACAATGGATTTCCCTTCATCTTGTCCATTCCAACACTGCAGAAAGATTTTCTTTAATAGTGGTTGGGGAGTTCTGTGTATGAAACTTATTTACTCAGATACAAAGTGATAGAAATTAAAATAAAAAAAGCTTATTTTTGCAACGTCGTCAGCCACATTTGATTTTCAGTTCAGGGCTGGTAAGAGCTCTCCAGATTTCCAAGTTTGAAATTTCATCTTTGTTTGTTCCAGTTTATTTGAATTAGACTGCACCAAACTCCAAGCACTACGAGATCATACAAGATCTTATGATATTGTGTGATGTTGCACAAAACAATATTTTTAAGACTAGACCAAAAGGGTTTAAACGTCATCATTTATTAAGATGATAGTTTCAAACTGTGGTATGAAATGTGATGTGTGAACGACAACTTTTATTTCGTCTTTGAGTTTCTCTTTATTGAAAATGTTATTTTTTTTATTTTGTAGGAACAATGTTGTATTTTTTCAGCACTTGGTTACATTTATATTGTGATTCAGTACATATATTTGTCACTTTTACATGTTTACAGATGAAAGTAGAATGTAAAAGGTGGCTGCATTTTTCAAAATCAGCACAAAACATTATTTTGCGTGCTACACATTCTAATACACAGACATGTAAGCTGAAGGCCTGGTCAAAGGTTTTCTCCTTTTTGCTAATTTTGATGGAAAATTAATTTATAAGAACAATCTGCACTTGCCTTAAACTGAAGATGTGGTACTTCAAGTTTCCACTGGAGAGCACTCTTGTGTCAACATAAAGTTTGTCCTTTTCTTGATGAAACTAGTGTCCAACAAGCTAACTGGCTATTATCCAGCAGATTTAATTTCTTTCTTTTAACCACAGGGGTTCCAGTCCAGGAAAGCATGTCCACCAAAGACCAAGAACGAGCCTGATGAGGTGTGGAGTTGCCAAATCTTTTTTTTTTTTTCCCACTTTTTCCTCTTGGATCACTGGGGGAGCTGGTGACTATCTCCAGTAGTCATTGTGCGAAAGTCATGGTACATCCTGGACCAGTCACAAGTCCATCATAGAGACAAACAACCATTCACTCTCTCACACACACACATTTTAGAGTCACCAGTTAGTCTAACCTTCATGTTTTTGGTCTGTGGAGGAAACCGGAGCACACCAAGAAAACCCATATAAGAAGAGCATGCAAACTCCACCCATAAAGGTTGGGAGGCGAACCTTCGACCTTCTTGTTCTGAGGCGACAACTCTAACCACTTCACCACCATGCTGCCCCTGCCAAAGTGGCGATTTACCTTATTCTTGTTGAAATCTGAGTTGAGTGAGTTCTAAAGGGTGGACACAGATGAAAATCATGAAAAGTTTATTTCTCCTCTATTTATTTACATTAGTTATCAATATACAACGGTGAAAAGAAGCAATCACTAAAGCAACTTCAACGTTACTGTGAGTTCAAAAAGCACATTAATGCACATATTACTTAATATTTTAAAGGTGCATTATTCATATTTTATACTATGTAGAATATAATACTGTAGATGTAAGAGTCACGTGCGCTGAAAATTGATGTTCAAAATGTTGTTTGAAAAATGTTCTACAGCTCCGTGTTCTGGTTGCTTTTAGTTTCACAGGTAGCAGAGGAGAGCTTGTGTGAAGCAAAATGTTTGCCAATACCAAATAACCTGATGCCAAGAGGGAAACTTGAGGGGAAAATTGTTTGTCATAGAGTTTTCATTTTGGTAAACAATTACTGCAGAGAAAAATGTGATGTCTATTAAATGCTCACATACATTTACAATTCATTAAAAAAAACTCATTTATTTGTGTATTTTGGTTTAGATCGTGCCTGCTTTTTTAGGTAACTCAGTTCTGTATCTCTACAGAGTCTATAAAACAGTTTAAAAAGACAAATAAACTTCTGTGGCTTTAACTGACTTAGCAGTTACAAACTTATGTTTAATTTTTTGCTAAATGCAAAACGTGGTATAAGCAGGTTGTATAACTGGATCATGTTGCTGTTAGTGCATTTCTTGGCCTAATAAACATATTGCCATATGGCCTAATGCACTGTGGATGACACAGCTAGGATCCGTGTCACAGTTCATTTGTTCTAGGCAAGACATGGCCTGTGGGGGCCACGGGGATGTCAATATGTGCAGTATATCTACTTACATGTGGTATTATGGTTGGTTCTGCTGCAGCACTGAATATGTGGGGGGGCTGTTACATTGCTGTCCATCTTTGGTCTGTTTGTTGTTCTTTCTCCTCAGGCTGACAGACTCTGACTGGGTTGTAAAATGAGCACAGCATCCACCTGATCAGCACCAGCTCGGCACAAGCTGGATTCCAGGAGGTCAACGATGAGATGGGATTTATCTCCAAATGTGTTTGTGCTAGTCATATTGCACTCGAGTAGAGGCTTCAGTTTTTAAGTAGTTCTTAAACAACACCAACTAAACATGGTGTTCAATACGCTGTAAAGTAATTACCCTTCATTGCCACTGACATCTGTAGCAGCAGTGCCGTTTGCAAAGTGGATAGTTGCTGTGGCTGTCCTGCTGTTCATGTCCTGAAGTGTAACATTTTGATCTGCTACAGCTGCCCTGCAGGCTGCGGGGGTGTGACCGCACAGCAGTGTCATCCCTATGGCTAACATGTGAAGGAGGAAGGAGGAAAAGCAAAATAAAATCTCATACAAGTAACGGAAAATAAATGAGTGCAGTGTAGCAGTTTTGGAGAGGTGTGGGAAAAAAAATGCTGTAAAGTAGAAATGCTTTCACAAATATGGATTCTAGCTGAACATTTTTTTTTGAGTTTGCAAAGTGCAAAGTAATGAAATACACATTAAGGTTACTGAGATGTCCTACAGCTCAGAAATGGCTCAACCCCACGGGACTCAGATGTGTTCAGAGAAGATTGTCAAGACTTCATTGAGGATTTATGGCTAAAAGGCTGTAGTGTCTTAATCAACACAACTATGCACAAAATCATTAAAAAAACAGGGTGCAAGAAAAAAAAGGAAGTAGGAGCTCTGGACTGTTGACGTAAAGTTTAAAATCATTTATTTGTAGCAGAAATTAGTCCACTGAATGTCAAGCAGGAAGTGATGGTGAGGTGCAGCAAATGCATAAAGAGGCAGAATGATACGAGCCGGTCTACATTCACAGACCAGCTGTGGAAAGTTTTCCAAGATGTTTGAGTTCCTCAGTAACTCAGACTCGCTCCTATTGCAGATGAACTGATGCTGTTTGAAGACAACGAATGAGCACATTAATACTGATTTGATTTAGAGCTCCCCTGCTTCATAATTTTGCATTACTAATTAATCAAGGAATTTAATATAATATTTGTGAGAATATTTAGACTTTATGGCATTTTTCCACACCTGCCTAAAATCTTCACTGAGTTCTGTACTAAGTGTAAATGAATTTAAAACATGATTGCCTATAGCATCATCAGCCCTACAATGGTCATAAATGCACAAAAATGCAAATAATTAAGGATGCTGTTTGTCAAATGGTTTGATAGACAGGTGTGTATACTTCAGCGAAACAGTTGAGGTCAAAAGCAGAAAAGTTTAGCACATGAACATAATCTTGTATTTACAAACTACAAAACGCAGTTGCTTACTTATAAATGAAACTATCTGAATTGGTGGGGATTCAGCAGTTTCAGTCAAACTGCTTCACCTGCTGTAACAGTAGATGGCTGTCGACTTCTCCACCCAGTGTAGGTGGGGACCCGGCATCTCAGTAGGTGGCTGTAAGCTGACCTGAAGTCCCTGTTGAGGGCTCCGTAGAGGATGGGGTTGAGGGCTGAGTTGGCGTAGCCCAGCCACAACACAATAGGGAATTCTGGTACTATGCCAGGGTCTGGATGCTCCTTTAAACCCAGTACTGTAAATAGTATGAAGTAAGGTAACCAGCACACCACAAAAGCGCCAATCACAGCTGCCAGAGTCAGTGTGGCTTTGTGCTCTCTCAGCGCCACGGCTGTAACACTGGAAACCAGAGTGGTACTGGTAGGAGGGCTGTTCTTGCTGTTGTAGCTGGTGATGCAAATGGGTCGAGCACTGATGATACGCTTGGCCTGAGACCTTGCAATGCGGAAGATTTGAAGGTAGGTCCAGCACATGGCTCCGAGCGGCAGGTAGAAAGTAAGAAGGGAATCAGTGAGTACGTACGGTTTGTTCAGCTCAAAACGACACCTCTTCTCTGAGGCCCACGGGCCATGGTTCTGCACCGTGCCATTAACTGTGTTCCAGCCCATTTGAATGGGCAAGAAAGACACAGCCACAGAAACTGTCCAAACACTCATTAGGGCTACAGCAACTTTCCACGGCAGCACCAGTGAGGCGTAACGCAGAGGCATGGTCACTGCCAGGTAGCGGTCCACACTGATGGCCAGCAGCGTCAAGATGGAGGCAGTGCACAACATAACATCCATGGAGATGTAGAAGTTGCAGAAGACCGGGCCGAGCGGCCACTCGTCATTGAGCTGGAGGAGGGCGGAGAACGGGAGGACCAGCAGGCCGAGCAGCAGGTCTGTCACAGCCAGCGACACAATGAAGCAGTTAGTGAGGCAGCGGAGGCGTCGAGAGGCGCAGACAGCTAGGCACACCAGCACATTACCACCCACAGTCAAAAGGATGAGCAGGGAAAGGATGACACCCAGTGTCACTTTTGACAACATTATTACTGGTGCTTCACTGGAGACAAGCTAAAGTCACCACAGAAGAGGCTGCATGGGAACCACGGCTCTATTCTCAGCTTTTAAAGTAGAAAACTTGAGAGACGCTCACTTTTTATCAAGTAGGTACATAAGTTTCAACATCGCATTCTGATTTAAAACATGTTTATTTGTAGTGTCCAGGGATTTCATTGAGAAAATAAAAATAAATCAGATCTTCAGTGCATGAGAAGCTTTTGACGTCAGCTCTTCCTGTATGTTCTTGACTTCCTGGTGTCAACAACCTTTAAACTTTTAATTCTTCAGTACTTGACCACAGAATGCATCACATCCATGTTTGTAACAATGTATGAAGTTGGTCAGTCAAGATGATGTCCAGACAAATGGCTTTTACTGACATGCAACCTTTTTAGTCTTCTGGTTTCTTCCTGGAGGTTCTCAAGATGTTGGCTTTTTCCACATGTTCTGTGGAGGTGGTGACACCTAGTGGATATAGATGAGAAATGCACTTAATTCAGGGGAATGGTCAATTCATAAAATATAAATTGCTAAATTCATGACAATTTTCCATAAATGCTAAGAAAAATTTCAGGATCACAGCAAATTTATTAAAATGTTTCAAATCTTTTAAGCAATAATACATTTCTTGTTAATCGAACTTTGAAACATAGTTACAAGAAAATAAGATATAGGAAGTTTGTGCACATGAATATACAGAAACAGAACATGTTCTTTGAAAATGCAGCTCCTATGCAACCCCCTTTTAAAGAGTCCAGTCACAAACATCACAGTTGCTGAGACTCCATATTGGCCAACACCTCTGGACCAATCGTGTCATCTGCAAGTGCTCCCAACTCTGACTAACTTCTGTCATCATTGTGTGCAGTGACAATGATCTCCTGATAAATGAGCGGAAAATTACATTAAAAAAAGTAATAAAAGCTTTATAAATCATACTTGAACACAAAGTGTCTATCATTGCAGCAGTGTGAAAGGTTTGTCGTTATTTCTCAGTAAAAAACACAAGCATTTCATGATAAGGAGATTGTTATTACATGTTGTGAGACTCGGCAGCACATGCAGTTGACTTACCCTAAATGACCATTAACATCTTCAAGGAGCCTAAGTGGACTTTACTCACCCTAACCATACATTGTTTCTTTTTTTGCTAGATGTCCAAGAGGAAATAGCATATTCACCCCAAATCAAAAATAAAATCCTAAAAATGAAATATGTGAGTGGTAAGTGGGTCTGAATGAAAGCAATGCAATTGACTTTATGGCCTAAGTGCCTATGTAGCTTCCTATTGCCAAATTTGCCCATAAACGAGTGTCAGGATGACATTTTCTTGTAAATTAAGTGCTTTAAAAATGAATTTGGTATTCGGGATGTGAGTTTCTGTTTTTTGCCTGGGAGATTAAGAATATTTATGAGATGGAAACATGTGTTTATGCATATATTCATGTGTTTGAACCAGTAAATGGTTGTTAAGAGCTGCTTGTAAGCCAGTTTTGGTCCAGATTGGTTGGCCTCTCATGTCAAAAACTGTGGCTTCACATCAAGACAAGAAAAAAATAGATTAGAATGTGTCATATAGGCAGCATCAGATAAAGGTTTTAGTTCAGTCTGTGACCAGGACTATTCCAGTCTTCACATTTCTGAACCCAGCTGGGGTTTTGAATTTCATTCAGAGCAGACATCAAGAGCCAAGCAGTCTTTCTCCAGTGAAGTGAGGTTCTTAGATGTAAATGATGTCTGAGCTATTGAGCACCACACAGGCTGACGACACAAACCTTTCAACAGTTTTCATCATCAAAATCTTTCTCTCGGACTAAGTCCCTTTCTCAGTTCGTCTAGACAAGTCAAGCACGTGTTGGCTCCAACACAACATTGTCCTGGGAAAGTTAAGCAAATATTATAGTATTACAGCTGCTGCAGGTTTTTATACCTATGCCCCTGAGAAAACTGATGTTAGTAATATGTTTGAGAATAGTTATGACTTCATGGTTGTATTTAATCAATAGCCTCAATGGAAATAAAATCAAATGAATCAAAGTAATTCACACTAAGGTTGTGATTTCTTTTTTTTTTTTTTTTTTTTTTGCAAAAAAGAAATAAAGGAGAAAATGAAGGGTAAAGTAATCACTCATTTACACATTGCTGGCTTAATTCTGACCATCTGGTGTTTGTCATAAATGTCTCATTATATTAATCCCATAATAACAAACAGCGGTGCGTGTTAGAGCATCTGTATTTATTACCACACACACAGACACACACACACACATGAGCATGGAGGCCCAGTTGGACTCTCTAACACAACCTCTGACACATGTGTGGATAATGGATTTTAAGAACTGTAATGGAGTGTAAATGACTGCTGAGTGCTTTGTTTTCCAGAGGATGCAAAGGCTGCACTGCTTTCAGAAGTTTTCTGCACCGAGAAGATATTCCATGTATTCAAGCAACAACAAAGGTTTGCATGGGTTTGTAGGTTTGAACACATGCCTCCAAGGACTTGTGATAAAATTACAAAGGATTTGCTGTAAATGTACGCTGTGGAGATAATTAACAGTATCTTCCATGCTCTGATTTTTAACTGGTTGTCTGAGTATGGGGTACTGTTTAAAGTTACACAGTCAATAATTAACATCAATACTTTGGTTTATTTAGTCTTTAATGAGAAAAAAAATAGTTGGTTTTTATTCCAAGTCATATTTTCGCCATGTTATTCATACATTTACAGATGTCAAACTAAATATATAATTTACAAGCTAAATATTTAGTTTACAATCTAAATACTTTACTTGCAAGTTAAATATTTAGTTAGTAAACTAAACATTCAGGTATAAATTAAATATTTAGTTTCCAAGCTAAACATTTATTTTTAAAACTAAACATTTAATTTTGAAACTAAATATGTATTGTCCAAGCTAAATATTTAATTTCCAAACTAAATATTTAATTTATAAGCTAAACATTTAATTCCTAAACTAACTATTTAATTTATAAACTCAACATTTAATTCCTAAACTAACTATTTCATTTGCTAACTAAATATCTAACTTGCAAGATAAATATTTAGCTTGCAAATTAAATATTTAGGTGAGAATTAAATATTTAGTTAGCAAATAAAAAATATTTTGGAAATTAAATGTTTAGCTTAGAAATTAAATGTTAGTTTGGAAATTAAATATTTAGCTTGGACCATAAATATTTAGTTTGGAAATTAAATGCTTAGTTTTGAAAATAAATATTTAGCTTGGAAATTAGGTATATAATTCACATCTAAATATTTAGTTTACTAACTAAATGGTTAACTTGCAAGTTAAGTATTTAATTTTTAAACTAAATATTTATCTTGTAACTTAAATATTTAGCTTGGAACTATGACATTTATAAATGTATGAATAACATGGTGAAAATATGACTTTGGAAAATAAAAGCAACATTTTTTTTCTTATTAAATGCTAACTAAACCAAAATATTGATGTTAATTTTTGACAGTGTAACTTTACAAACGGCACCCCATAGTCTGAGACTCACAAACAGCTTTTGTCCAATTCCTGTTCTTTATCAGACTGGATTGTGAGAGCAACATCGTAAGCAAAGAGCTGCAACACTTCTTTTCCCAAGCTACCTCTTCCATTTAATCTGGAAGGACTCTGTGGACACTTTTGATCATCTGTGAAATATAATGTATCCAGCAAGTCCTGGGTTTGCAGCAATATCTCTGAAACACATCCCTGCAAAGTAATCCAGAATGCATCCATACCAAATGTTCAAACCATCTCAGCTGACTCCTTTTGATGCAAAGCTCCAGCAACTCTACTTTGAGCTCCTCTGGAATAGCTAAGGTCCTTTTTAGAACGTTTTAGGTGCTAGGTATGGGAATCCAGCTACAGCACAGGTAAAGCTAATTTAATCCACTTGAATTATCAGTCTCATTGCTTTGGTCTCTACTCAAAGCTCTCAACCATTTAGGTTAGCAGTGTAGATCTCGTAAATCAATTTGTAAAGGACCATCTTAACTCGTTAGCTCCGCTCCTTCTTCACCAAAATGGAACAATGTCCACATCAATAGAAAAGCTGCCCAAATCTGCCTATCAATACTTTGCACTATTGTATCTCTCTTGTAGAACTTCTGCTAATGAAAGCTGTGAACAGAATCAATGACATACAGCTACCTTGGCAAAGTAATCTGACCCTTCAACATGTGTCCCAAGCCCTCACTGAAGGTGTACAGGAAAAGAATGGCCCTAGTAGGAGAGCTGAAACCCTGTGTTCCTAAAGAACCCTTTATAGGACATCCCAAGGGGCATGGACACAAGCTTTACTTAAGTCAACAAAACACACACAACATTTCAAAGATAAAGAGATAGAAAACATGAATTGCTCTTCAATCTGAAGTTCAGGAGGTGCAAAACCTCCTTTTGGGTTGTCTGAGGAAGCCACAGAGTCCAAGACAAATGTCTTCTGTCTCTGGAGCTTTGTCACCACAAAGCTGTCAGCTACTTTAACTGCAACTATAAGCTGCAGTTATTTGGGCAGTTCGACAACTTAGTGATTGGCACTGCTGTCTCACATCAAGAAGCTTTGGGGTTTTTCTGTGTGCAGTTCGCATGTTCTCTAGTTTGCATGAGTTCGGTTTCCTCCTACAGTCCAAAAACACGCCATCAGGCCCAGACCTCCCATGCAAAAGATGTATATGATTTCAATGGGATTTGCTATGTTAAATAAAGGTTAATAAGAATAATCAAATAAATAAGTCCTTTCCAAGAACAGTGACCACAGCTAGCAGAAGGAAAGGTGGACCCATTGGGTTCAGTAGAACCTTAAAGGATTCTTTTCACCTGCTCAATATATTTTTAGATGAGGATGCCAGCACCCCACTGTAAACTGTTGACAAAGCATCACTTACCCCTGAGGCCAACAGACATTATCAAAAGATACATGTAGCTTATTAGTGATGTTTTATAAACTGCTTGTGAATGTTGTGCTAA